TATAGGTGAAAGAAAAAAGACACATCCTCTATATGAGTCCAGTCTAATACAAGTTCTATGTGTGGTTGTTAGTCACAACCTTGGTAAATGTGAGTGGTATAATATGTGCATGAAGTTCTGTTAAAACACAGCCTCGATTTAGTTCATGCATATAATCTTAATATGTGTGCAGGCATAGTGTCACTGTATATAGCAGATGTAGGCTATGTATGATTCCTGTTTGAACAGACTCCGTATATGTGACCGATATCACTGTGCATAAGGTGCTGTTAAGAAACACCCACAAGGTATGTGATTCCTATATTCTGTATGCAGGTTGGAATAAATATATAACCAGGGGCGTACCTAGAGCATTTGGCACCCGGGGCGGAATCCTGTGCTTGGCACCCCCCCCTCACCCCCCTCCCCAAAAACCTGTAAAAAATGTTAAAGGTTTTATTTCTTTTCTTTTTACAATTTGTAAACTTTGCAAAACCGCTGTCAGCCCCTCCTACAAAACCCTTGTCCTGCCCTGCCCCTCCTACAAAACCTCTGTCCTGCCCCTTCTACAAATCCTGTACTGCCCCATCTACAAAACCCCCGCAACCCCCTTCCACAAATCCCCTGCTTATCCCCCCTTATAAAGACTCCTGTCCCAATACAAAACCCCCACCCCCTTCTACAAAATCCCTGCAGCCCCACACACACATTTACAGGCAGACAGTCACACACTCAGTTACAGACAGACAGTCACACACAGTCACAGGCAGACAGTCACACATACACATTTCCTCCGTGCGGCCAGTTTATCAGCTGTTTGCTTGAGTGAGCTGTACTGGCCGCACGGCACCCTAACTACCATGGGACACTGTGCGGCCACAGCTCACACAGCCCCCTCCAGCCAGGGCCGGTACAAGGATTTTTGCCGCCCTAGGCAAAAGTAAAGTTTGCCGCCCCCCATGTGACATCACAATGCCCCACCCATATGATTTGCCATGTTAACTAACGCCAGTGCTGCAGTGCCGCCGTGTTTACATTAAAAGGCCTGCAGGGACAGGCTATAGACACCAGAACCACTACATTAAGCTGAAGTGGTTCTGGGGACTATAGTGTTTCTTTAATGTGAGGTAAATTAGAGCTTAGTGCCACGAATAATATACTAGATTGCCTACTTACAACCAGATGAGGATGATGATGGGCTCTAGCTGCAGTCTGGCTCCACTGGTCTGGTGCAGAACAGGCTCTCTGGAGGCGGTTTGTAACTGTGGTCACAAAAATCAATGTTCTGGGAGAACGGGAAGCAGCTCCATTTTTTGGGGGTCCTTTACACAGCTCAAGGTCTGGGTCCCAGGGTCCACCTTCATGTTCCACCAATGAGTTTGTTCACAGGGGGTGGAGTGTGTAAGGGATGTCCTGATATGTGTGTAAGGAATGCATTGTGTGAAATTGTGTTTGTATGTGTAAGGGCTGCAAGGTGTGTTTCTGTATATGTATGGGATGCATTGAATGTGTGTAAGGGGTGCATTGAGTGTGTGTAATGAATGCATTGTGTGTTTCTGTGTGTGTAAGGGATGCATTGTGTGTAACGGTTGCATTGCTTGTGTATGTGTGTCTGTGTGTTTTTCTGTGTGCAAGGGGTGCATTGTATGTATGTGATGAATGTCAATCTCTCCTCCCGCTCCAATTTCCTTCTCCTCCTCCCAATTTCTCTTTCTCACCCACCCCCCCTTTTCTCTTTCTCACCCACCCCTTATTTCTCTTTCTCATCCCGCCTTATTTCTCTCTCACCCCCCCTTATTTCTCTTTCTCACCCCCC